AAGTTGTTGCTATGATTTCTGAGACATCAAATTCCATGTCTGGCAGACTTTCAGGCATCTCCATTGCAGCTAAATGCAATTGAGGATGCCTAAAGGTAGTAAATGGTTTTGAATACGTATTTATAAAAATTGTTGAAAAACGCGAATTATATTAACCTCCGAATGACGTCGTATAAGAAAACATATGCAAATCCATGGTACAATGATATCAAGGTAGGGCTATGATACCATATGATTTTAATTTTTTTATTTTCTTGGCCTAATATGTCATCTTTTTTGTTTATATATGTGTTTTCTTTTCAATAACAAAAAAATGTTCAGAAAACATTCAAATTCGGGTGTTTTCAAAATGTTCATTTCAACGCATGCATCGACAAAATTTAGAGTTTTTGTAGCGAAATAATCGTTTAGAGATATATAGTACATGATTTTGAAAAGAAGTGTTGACCTTTCATTCAGTTATCGCGGTTTTCAATTATTTATTCAAAATAAATGCAACAAGTTTTTATTGTTTTGATACTAATTCTGACATTACAAGCCAAACAGGTAGACCTCTATACTTGCAATTTTTTTTAAAGTTGACCTACCTTCTCTTCATTGTACCATGTGCAAATCTACTTATATTTGGAAAAACATTTAATTTTTTTTTTGACATATCAATGCTCCCAAGCCTTGATGCATCTACCTGTATTTTTCTACCATGGGAAATGCAAGAAAATTAAATTAAACTTTACTGAGCAAAAAGATGTAAATGTCGTAAAAGTAATGGGTAGGAATTGTGAATTACGTATGTGTAAACCACTTAATATTTTTCTCCCTAGCTATCGCCGGTATAGAACTCGACTTCGTTGTAAAATTATCAGCTGATTATTTTTCCTTTCCTAATTCGTAAACATTTTCCATCTTCATCACTTCTTCTTTTCTATCAATATTCGTAGCATTTGGCAAACAGCTGTTGCCTCTTACCCAACATACCAAATTGACTTGAGAATAATATTTTAATAAGCTTACAAACATAAGCCTAAAGCTTGAGAAAATCTTGAGAATGTATTGAGAAATGTTTGTTTAACAATTATAGAATAATCGAAAAGGAACCCTTATTCATAAGCTTATTCTTGTAATTGCAGAATAAGCTTACGAAAGTAATATTTTATAAAGCTTATTTTTTCAATGGTAAAAAATATTTATTTATTCATTTTTTAATTATTTTACACATTTCATTCATTGATTGCCATCCCAGCTGTCACTGCATCCTGTTGCCTTGATACCTAGATGCTTTCTTTCCCCTTATTTGAGCTTCTGTATCTCCTCCACTTATTCTTCACTTCTGTTGAATTCCTGCAACTTTTTGACGCCTCCATTCTGAAATGAGATTGAAATAATTTATACTACAGATTCCCAGATTTATTATTCATCATTACCTTAGAGTTTCGTCCGGAAATGGGTCCTAAAATCGCGTGATTTTGATTTTAACCAAAGAAAATAATTTTTTGTTGACAATTTTCACAAAAAAAATCAAAATAAATTTGTCAACAAAGGACAGATTTGAGAAAAGTTTGTGCAAAAAAGTGTTTCTCAAGCATTGTTGAAAAATTCTTATGATAAACTATTTTCATAATATTATTCTCAAGCTGTATTGTATTTTTGGTATGTTGGGTACATTTTCCTACATTCTGCGTTTGTGTTTGTTTACAGAGTACACAGAAAACACAGCGCATCGGCGTCGATTTGAATTACAGCTAATAAACCTCCGCCGCTGAAAAAAATTGTTTCGCTCCGTTGTTTGTCCACAAATAAATTTTGCTTGTTTTTATTGTTTGATGTTAATTAAATATGGAAAATCTGGATAAGGATAAATGTATTCCCGCAGAAAGTAGAAGCCAGTCATCAATACCGAAGCAGCAGGAACGTGCAGCAAACAACAGTTTGGAGAACAACATGGGGGAAACAAAAGCTGGAACGACAACAACAACAGAGGATTGGTCCACTCTTTCGCAATGGATTCAATGCATGTGTATTGTAACATTTGACCTGAATTTGGGCCAAGCACTTGAATTTATATATCCCAAAGAATTTATGCCCAGCGAACAGGAGGTGACAAACATTTGCTACATGGCATTCCCAGATTCAAATTCTGGTTGTATGGGTGATACCAAGTTTCATATGCGCCTCAGAATGTCACCAGATACAAGTCGACTACAGGAACTGCAACAATTTCGCTGCTACAACAGTGACTGTCCACCCGTTTTGAAGGTCGACCAGTCCCACTACTGGGGATTTGTGTATTTTCGCCAAAAGCGAGATGCCAACTTGCCCCGTGGCTACTTCCAAAAGAGTTTTATTATTGTCACCAGATTACCGTTCTTTAATTTATTCTATGAAATGCTAACACAATTGGCGCAAAAATACTTTGACGAAGGCGAAGAGGTCCTCATCAAGGCCTGTCAACAAATTAACAGTGATTGGCCACAACTACAAGTTGGCGGAACTTTTAACTTACCTCTATTCGATCAGTGTTATCAAATTTTAGTGCCCAGAGCAAGTAGTCGAAAAGCTGTTCAGCAAAATTTTGGCTCGGAAAGTATAGAAAAGTTGGAGAAGCTAGAACGGCCAATATCGGTGAAAGTGATAGCATCGGTAAATGAGGTTGAACTATTTCACAGTCTAAGTTTCATTGTGGATCATATGTACACGCTGTGGGAGCTGGTATTAACGGCAGAGCCCATAGTTGTGGTCGGCACATCGCCTGCAGATTGTTCACATATGGTTCAGACATTGGTAGCGTTAATAGCTCCTTTGGAATATTGTGCTGAGGCAAGACCTTATTTTACAATACACGACAGTGAATTCAAAGAGTTTACCAGAGAATGTGGAAAAATCCCCCCACCCTTAATTTTGGGAGTAACAAATCCATTTTTTATTAAACTGCTCAAGGATTGGCCGCACATGCTGCGGCTAGTTGATAATCAGGTAAGTATTTATTTCAAAAACCTGCGCAAAAATTAGATTTTAATCTGGTTTAAATTGCATTTTTACAGCTTAACATGCAAAAGCAACAACAAATTGCCATCAAGAACTCCCGCAACACATCTTCCGTAACATCCTTGAACAGCGTTGGTGGTCTAAAAACTGGAAACGGTAATTCAACATCACTAAACGGCAGCAATGGTGAGGGCTCCGCTCCTGGTCTCTACACCAAATATAAACCATTTTTGAAGAAGGATAAATCCCTTATTAAGAAAGTCTTATTGGGTCTCAAAACAAAAAGACCAGAACATGTACAAACTGCACTGTTACGTAGGCACCTCTTAGAATTGACACAAAGTTTTATGATACCTTTGGAACGTTATATGGCCTCGCTAATGCCACTACAAAAGGATATAAGTCCATTTAAATCAGCGCCAAATGCGAATGCTTTTAAACTTGATGACTTTCTTGCTACACTGGAACTTTCCGGACCACATTTAACATCACCGCTAAAGGGCGATTGGAAAGGTCTATATCGACGTTTTTATAATTCACCAAACTTTCGCGGTTGGTATGAATCCCGCCACAAAGAATTACAACTTACCCTCCAGGATTTACAACTACAAGCTTTATCCGAAGCGAATTTGGAGCAGTGGGCCCGCGATAAACAAGAAGTGGAAATTATTGATATGATATTAAAATTGAAACAAAAATTGAATCTCTATAATGATAAGTTATCAACTGAATCTAGCTCATGGATTGGAAGCAATGGCAATACAGCAACAACTACGCGTGATCAAATAAGAGCTCAGATAAATTGTATGAAAGAGCTGCTACCGAACGATTTAAAAAATGTCGTTAATATATGATAAATGAATGAACGAACGATGTTGAGGAATTATAATTCGTGGATTGGTAGTTTTAGAGCGATTAGAAAATTTTGATTTTAGGGAGAGTGATGGAGGTTTTCAACACATCATATGAAGTCCTATTGTCATCGATCAAATTGTACAACATTATCCCTTTAAGATAACACATAGATGTTATAGTAACTGTTATCATAAAATATTTGAATTTGTAATTATTTGACAGAGCTTTAGATTTGTAGGGTGTTTTGAAATCGAATTTATTACCTCAAAAGTTTAATCTCTCGCTAATGATTTTCAAAACTAATGATTCTTTCCAAGGATATTAATGTTCCCTATTAAAATCCAATCCATTTATTTTAAATTTGTTATATAAATGTGTGCATGTGTTTATCAATGTAGGCTTACGTTAGTTGTAAGTAATAATATAAAGAATTGAATCATGATCTAGATAAATGTCGAATTGTTTAATTTAAGTTGTATAATATATTCTTAAGATAATTATCTATAATTATTACTAAATTGTAATATTTTAAGCAGGTATATAATCAAATAAAATAGAATAATTTGTGTTAAACTCTATTTTGTAAAGGCTCTGGTACATCGTTCGGTAAAATCATGGTCATAAAGGTAATATTTCAAGAAAAGTTCTGATATCCGATTTTAGATCTATTCGCCTCAAGTAAAAGCCTCAAGATTTGCTCAACGGTTATTAAGAAGGAAAAAGGCTTTTGTAGTCCATTTCATTTGGATGTTATGACCTCCAACAACCATGAATTAAGGCTCAAAATATCCACATTCCTGGGGTAGTGAATTCTCACATTCGGGGTATGTAATTTTTGGATTTACGACACACAATCGATATTTATTAGTTCACTCCATCATGCAAAAATATACAAATTTTATTTGGCATTCTTCGTGACGCCAGTAACTCAATGAGACAAATAGTTGTGCATACTTTTAGGCTTGCGAGCATTTAATAACACCCCCAAATCACCGTACATAACTCTGATTCGTTTTGTATGTACAAAAATTACCCTCAAATGAAGGGTATCTATCTTGCGGTTCAACCACTTAAGGTCAGAAAAAAACTTGATAAGCTTAATGGCATTTAATGTGGGTATATGTAAAAAATTCACCAATCTCCCGATAAAATAAAACTGCATCTTATTTCAATTTTAATTTCAAAACTTTATTTAGCATTAAATTTCATGACAAAATAAGCATTTATTTTTAAGGAAGAAAATCAAAAAAGCATCACAAAATGAGTTAAGTTTAGTCGATGTCATAAGAAATTTGGAGTTAACACTTAACGTACATTGAATATTGTTTCATAGCGTATCTTTTAAATGGCATAAACATTGAGAAAAATAAATATAATCTAAACTGAAATACATTTTCTTCAGGGATTCGGTTGATATTTGGCTAAATATAAAAATTAAAACATTTTTATGTGATTCATTAATTACTAAAGAAACCGATATGATGACAAATACTTATTGCTATCAGTATTGAATTTGGAAAGTGTCTATAATATATTATTGTAATATTTAAACTAATTCTAATTATTAATCTAAACTCGGTAATGATATTAATACCTCACCTGCAGGCCGAGCTTCACCTCTGTCATTCGATACTAGAATACGTTCAGCGTCCTGAGCATTAGTCAGTGAAACAATTTCATATGAATTGCTGTCTTCGGTAATCTCTGAAACTTCAAATGTAGTTGGAGTCAATATTTGTTCGGTGACTTCTAGACTTTCGATGCGTGTAGTTTCGAGACGATAAAAACCATTTTCATCTATACGATATGTAAAACGTCGATGGCCGGAGGGTAGTTGAAAATCATGTTTTTTGATTAAATGCACCGATAGACTTTTTCCGTTTTTGAATGATTTCTCACAACAATGACAGAGGTAGATAAATGTGGTGTTTTTGTGAACTTCAAAGAAATGCTACAAAGGCAAAAAGATTAGATCTATTATAACAACAGACTCCACGGCTACAAAGGCCCACAAATCTTGGCACTAGATAACATTCTGAAATGTTTTCGTTTACTTAGCTCACCTTTCTTAGAGCCTGAAATGTTTTAACAGCATAAGTGCAACCAGATTCCTCACAGCGATGCACCTCTTGACTGTGCACCAATTGAACGTGCTGATTTAAATCCGATTCTCGTACGCATCTATATTCGCACTCTACACATTTGAAAGGTTTTTCTTTCAAATGTCTATATCTTACATGTGTAGCTAAGGCACTGGCTGACGAGCAGGTCATATCGCACATGGTACACTTAAAACAATTAACATGTTTCAGCATATGAGAACGTAAAAGTTTTTCGGTAGCAAAGTATTTTGAGCATTGGGCACATTGATATTTTTGAGCTGAAACAATAATAAAAATGACAAGAGCAGGTGGCGTTAGCTCATTAGCTAGCTGTGTCCCCAAACAGAATGGATTACGCAAATTTTGCATTTATTCTACTTACTGTTATTTTCTGGTTGCCGTCGTAAATGGTCAAATAATGTTGTTTTCGTACGGAACAATTCTCCACAATGATAGCAGGCTACTTGTTTTTTATTCGAGTGCGTCCTTATGTGCTCGATGAGGCGATATTTGTTATCCATTTGTTTTTTGCAAAAATTCCAGTTGCATTGAATTTTTGGCCTTTCGTCGTCTGGTGATTTTTGTATTTCATACTCGAAGGAGGCATGTTGTACTATATGGTCCTGGAACTCTACTATCGATATAAATGTTCGATTACAGTCCACCCATTCGCAGCGAAAATCATTATGCAAATCGGGTATTTTATCACATTCTCTTGGCACAGCATTACATTTTGGTATCGAGGGATTGGCTTCTAGTTCATTTTTTCCATGGACCAATAGTCCATTGTAGTATCCATGATAGTATATGTGGCGTTGTATTTCTGTAATACATGCAGTCGAAAAGGAGCACGCACCCCAAACGCAGTTATAATTTCCATTCGTATGCGGCTTTAATGTCTCCAAATGTGTTTCAATGTGACCATTCAATTCCCAATCATTGGGAAACATCAATCCACAACCAATCCAACTGCAGGGTATTAAGGGCACATCAATTTTTCTCTTTTTATTATTACTCATAGTTTCTTGTTTCGTTTGTCAGACACGGACAAGGACTTTTTTGCAATGCTTTTCTGTTGTCCGATCAAAGTGGTCCTACACAAATGACACTATTTGTCGGCCGCGCTCATTTTGTTTACCAAATTTGACAGGGTTGTATATGGCCATATGTTGTGCAAATGAAGCAGCGTCGTAAAATTTCGGCACACAACGTGTATGCAGTGGAAAGGGATACCAAGTTTTATTAAAGTACGTTTACATACAAATCTTAATCTGCGTTCATTTTGGTATGCTGTTTCATACAAATACAAACATTTTGAAAATATTGCCTTTTCTGTTTCCAGTTTCCTGTCGAAATTCCAACTCGTGGATAAAAAGCGTACCTCGAATGAGAGAGAAAACAAAATTTATATTTATTTATTTATAATCATATTATTAGCTTTGTTCTACATTCTGTATTTATGCCATAGATTCATTCACCTGTATACCATGGTTCTTTTAGGAAGAAGCCAGCCGATGACTTAAGCCAGTCAAAAAAGCGTTTTACGTATTCTTACCTTTTTTCTAATAAGATTATCCATCCTTGTCAAATTTCATCGAATAAAACACAGGTTCCCATCTCTGTATACAATGGATTTATCCCAACCAATTGTTAGAATGACTTTATAGTTTCTATAAACATAATGTTGTTATTGTAAAATATTAGTTGTTGTATTTGATGCATACACCTTATAAATACACCTTGGATAATTTCAAATTATTTTCTTTTTTATTCAAAACAATACACACGCATATACCATGGCAGAAGAATACATGTAGATGCATCAGCGCTTGGGAGCATTGATATGTCAAAAAATTTAAATGTTTTTTCAAATATAAGTAGATTTTTATATGTTTTCTTATACCACGTCATTCGTCAATCGCGTTTTCAACAATTTTTACAAATTTAAATAATTTTTCATTCAACATTTTCAATTTCAAAATTGGTTTGACAGTTCATTGTCCCAGCAGCTGTGGCGACGCGTCTACCTATATTCTTCTACCATGGCATATACCAACGGTGTATATGTGTATAATAGGGGCACCAAAACAAAATATTTAGGAGGAAGCTTTGTTCTACCCATGGTAGAAGAATATAGGTAGACGCATCGACGCAGCTGCTGGGACAATGAACTGTCAAACCAATTTTGGAATTGAAAATGTTGAATGTAAAGTTATTTAAATTGGTAAAAATCGTTGAAAAACACGCATTAAAATAACCTCCACACGACGTTGTATTAGAAAACATATAAAAATCTACTTACATTTGAAAAGAAACTAAAATAATTTTGACATATCAATGCTCCCAAGCGTTGATGCATTTACCTGTATTTTTCTACCATGGTTCTACCCATGGTACAATAAAAGTAAGGTAGAGCTACCAGCTGATTACAGTTTTTTTCTGAGTGTGCCCGACTTTTGTCAAGTTTGTGTATGTATCTATTGTTTTGAAAAACAAAAACAAAATATTTTTAAAATCGATGATTTGAAGAAAGTAACACTTCGTCCCGCGTATTAAAGATGATAATCAGTTTTACCAAGGAATTAAATGATTGAACTGTTTAGAGCATCTTTTTGTAAGAAAACCCAATCATTTCATTAATTTGTCGCGTTTTTTAGATCATAATAAAAATGGAGAAAAATGCAAAATAAATAAAAATAATTTATTGCCTATAATTTTAAATATTTCTGGTAGGAGGCGGGCATAGCATTTGGGGTGTATTCATGGTATAAGAATATAGGTAGACGCATCGACAAAGCTGCTGAGACAATGAACTGCCAAACCAATTTTGGAATTAAAAATGTTGAATGAAAAATTATTTAAATTTGTAAAAATTGTTGAAAAACACGAATTATAAGAAACTCCGAATGACGTCGTATAAGAAAACATATAAAAATCTACTTATATTTAAAAAAACATTTAAAATTATTTGACATTTCAATGCTCCCAAGCGTTGATGCATCTACCTGTATTTTTCTGCCATGGGTGTATTTCAATAGTTCTACGAAGCTGTTCTACCTCCTTATTGTACCATGGGTCTACCCATGGTAGAATACGGACACCTCCTGTAATTGAACCATGGGTTTTTCGTTAAACTACATAAAAACAGGCTATACCTGCTTCCTGTCAAAATTATACAAAATTAAATGCAACAACTAGTTTACGTTTATTTGATATTTTCCCTCACGTTTGAAATGAGTAAAAAGCGCGAAAGATGAATGAAATGCCTGGATATCCTCTCAAAAATATGATTCAAACTGTTTAATATTTCAATTCCATGGCAAACCTGGGTCAAATCTTTAAAACGCGCCACGCAATGTACTTGTCTTCCAACCATTGATTTTGAAAATATTTTGTTTTTATTTTCAAAAATAATAAACGCATACAAAAAATTGACAGAAGTCGGGCACATTGTAATCAGCTGGTAGCTCTTCCTTATCTGGAGGAAGAACTACAGAAACTATCTGGAGGAAGAATTACAGAAACTACATCCTGAGGCCATGGTAGAATAATTCTTCTACCGCCCGCTTTTTATCAGAATTATTCAAAATTAAATGCAACAATTAGTTATCATTTATTTGATATTTTTTGTTCATTTTTAAGATGAGTAAAATAGGGCGAAATATAAATGAAATGCTTATCACAAATATGATCCAGCGCGTCCAATCCTTCAATTCCATGCTAAGTCTGGTTAGTATCATTAATACGCGTCCCGCATTATCGTAATAAAAACTATTACATTCTTGCAGTTCTGGAACCGACCAGAAATTGGCAGAAGTCGGTCAAATTGTAATCACTTTACCTTTTTATTGTACATGATTGTGCCATAGTATAAAAATATCAAAATGATCCGAACATAGCCCCCAAACATAATTTAAACCATTTTTTCTCTTTCACACGAAACTATTTCCGAGCTAATTTCCCATGAATATCATTGCGAGTTCGGTCCGTTTTCAGACTTTCATACCACCATCCGATCCCAGAACATAGCAACCATTGAAAATTTCATTTTAATTTAATGGAAATTTATCGAATCCGACAGTCGGTTGCAGGCTGAGGTTACATATCTGTTGGTATGCTTTCTAGAAATTAGAATCTTCGTTCGAATGGAATATTTAACTCAATCCTCTGGAAGAATAATCTTCTCTTCTTTAATCTTCAAAATCTATATAAACAATTGTTTCAATCCAATTGACTTACGTCCGAAGCAGTCTTATGATTCGAAATGAGTTGTCTTCATCTAACGTAAACTTCTTGTCTTACTTTGAAATAGTTGTCTACACATTCCTACATTTTCTGTTTACATTCAATATTTTGCATAGCATCTTCATCAATTTCAAATCTAAAAAAATCACATCTGCAACAATCTTAATACACTTTTACGTTTTAGTTCTGAATGTAGATTTTTTAAATTCTACCCTTAAGCCCTTAAAAATCCATTGCCGTACATATACTTTTTCCCACGACCAGATCGATATTAATGTTTAAATCTCAATTTCGCGATATCAATCTTTTCAAATACTTTTGTTACAATAAACATTTGAAGATATTTCATGTAAATATTTGCACACTGAATACACCAAAATATTGTTTTTTTTTTTTTTTTTTGTATTTTTTATTTCTTTTTTCATTCATTTTATCACTACTGTCCAAGTAAAATTTTAAGAATAGTGTTAAAATACACTAAGCACATAACAAAGACAGACTCAGTTTTTATACACACACCAGGAAATCTATTGTTTACTTGGCATGGGTTTGAGCCTTTCTCATTTGAGTGAGAATGTTGGACAATTCTTCACGCTTCCTCTTGGCACGGATGTGTGTGCCCAAACGGCGTTTCAAGAATTTCAAAGCACGCTTATCCTTGGAAACCTTCAACAATTCCATGGTTCTCTTCTCATAGGGAGCATGACCAACGACTTCACGGACCAAATCACGCATGAATTTGGTGTGGCGAGTTTGAATCTAAAATGAATCGAAAAAATATAAGTTAGTCACCAAAATATAGTAGGAAACATAGTGTTACAGAATACGCTTTCATGGGCATCAAATGTAAACATTAACTAGGTGCTTGAAGTAATAGCACCCCAAATCTTTTATTCCTTTATCCTAGTCATTGGAACAAACCAAATCATGTAAACAACAATAACAACTACTCATTCAGAAAATGTTCGCAATGTTTACATTTGTGCAAAATGCAATATCATATTCCATTACACTTAACTTCTTTGGAATACTTACGTTCTTCAAACGGGCACCACGCAAGCCCTTGACTTTCTTGGTACCGGTGTATTTGACATTCTTGACTTTGGTGGTCTTGTGGCCCTTGTTGAGACCGACACAGAGTTCGTAGCGTACTGCCATTTTGCCTGCAATAGAAATTCGCACTATTAGTCAACATTTCACAAAACATTTATATTTTAACATTGTCAATTTGTGAACACTATTTACAGCATATTCATTTTTGTTATTATCCATATGATGTCGAATATATTTCATATTTTTTATTCATTTTTCCAATCGTCCACCTACCTTAGCAATTGTCAAAAGGCGGAAAGAGCTTTGACAGAGAAATTTGTTTGGTCGCCATTTTTCGCGGCCGTTTTTACACTATTTTGACATAAGCATACTGCGAGTTGCCAAAACAAATTACTAAATAACAACGGCCAGACAAGAGGTGTTCACATATCATGAAAATGATATCAAACAACGACAAGCCATGATTTATATATATATATATATATATATATATATATATATATATATATAAATATATATATATATATATATATATATATATATATATATATATATATATATATATATATATATATATATATATTTGTTTTTATTTTGGCGTGAACATTTGTGGCGTCTTAAAAACATTGCATACTTCGTTCATATTCATGTTTCGACGAGAAATTTCCAATAGATTTTATACAAATCCAGAATACATCGACTCTCACAATAAATGCTCAGTTTCAAAACCGGCAAGAATCTACAGGTTTTGCAATTTTCTCGATATCATAAAGGGAAAATCGGTAGACGTAGTAAAAACTATTACATCTCTGCAGTTCTGGAACAGAGTAATAATGTTTAGGGTATCTGTCACATACAAAATTGGTA